TCGTCTGCCTGTCTTTTCTCCCAATCTACTCGATTTCAACTACGGTAAGAAAACCAATTGTGTAGCGTTGGTTGAAGATGAGCTGCAATACACATGTAGTTGCTGATTCGTTGCGTCACGGACACTTCAAGCCCTCTATCCTGACAAGCCTATGAGCTAAGAGATTCGTGTCCAATTTGCTTTGGAGGATAAGAACCTAAATCAAAAGATCCCAACATTTCGTTATTTAGAACAAAAACGCGCTTAATCACAAAACGCAGTAACGCCCTCACGGCGAATGGCATATTTAGGTGACATAATTAAATTGCAGAAGTGGGAGGTACGATACCTGCTGGCTCCATATATATCCGGTAATTTATTCTAATAAACAAAAGCCTTTGTCCAATCTCCAGTTTATTCACAATCAAATCTGTGGGAGCATTATCTATGGACGAATATCTTATCAACACTTCGGCAAGGGTTTAATCATTGTCACAGATTTGAATGTTTATAGCGAGGTTTAGAAAACAGTCAGTGAGATGGATCTATTTTCATCTACCACCTGCAACAACCCATCGACTGGAAAGTGGTGATAACACAATGTCAATGTACGTTGTGCGCCACATACGTCTCCCCTCCCTGCTGCAAAGTAGGGCTCTGTGGGGCGTGGATCACTGATGAAGAGCTCTATCGCTCTCGAAAAAAGCAATTCTGCAGAGATATTTTGGCAGAATCAAAGTAGTTCTTTTGCTACGGTATGTTTCTATTCTCTCAATAGTCTCAACATTGTACATTGTTTCTGAGATGTACACTGACGGATTTGAAGAATTTTCTACTGAGCAAAAGTCTTCGTCAAGCTTTGTATAATCAATCAATCAAAATCAAAACAATGGATCTTTGTTTTACTAAAAGAAAAGCTCGAATAAGAAAATATAGGGCAACTTTTGAGAAAATATCAGTTCCTCTTATAAGTTTTGGCACTAGAACAGCAAACACCGAATTCAGCAATATACATGGATTAATGGTAGTCATTACACAGCTCGGATTTCGACAATTTTGATGCTAAGATTGGTTTTTGAAATGATGTGTATGTATACACATATGTCCACTTCTCTATACATATACATGTATATGTATATGCGTGTACATATATACATATATATACATGTATATATATATATATATATATATATAGAGAGAGAGAGAGAGAGAGAGCTGTCTTTGAGCAAGAGAAATATCAGGTTCAGCATTCGAAGTGATTGGCTCGTCGCTCGATCTTTACAACGGATTTATTTGTCAATGTGAAACAAGAAAAATTTATACCTATAGAAGGTTAGAAAAAGCTCGCCTCTAAAACTCTTACACAAAGAACCTAAAAAATTACCCTGGAAGGGAAAAAAAGTTTCTTGATAAGGGACGTTGTGCGCAGCAAATTCAACTAGCGACTTAAAGAGGGTGCCATTCGAGAGTCGTGCGATTTTCTTCATTTATTTGGAATTTTTTGCCTATTTTTTCGCTGAAAAATTACCAGGTTATTTGTATAAGAACTGTAGAGAAGACTTTGCTCCATCGTCCCATAGGTACAAAATTTTTTGTCACATTGCCAAGTAAACCCGTAATGAAGATCAAGCGACGAGCTGACTACAGAATGCGAGACATGATTTTCGTTTAGCTCTAACAACGCTCAATCTAGACCGTTTCAAAAACCAATCTTAGAGTCAAAGTGTTTAGATTAGAGCTGTCGAATGGCTACGGCTCTGAAAATGGGATACCACTGAACCATGTATATTAATAAGTTTGATGTTTATTACGCTAGAGCCAAAATTTATGAGATGTCCTAACAAAAGCTCTCAACATCGACTACTGAGGAATGCTCCATGCATTCGCCTTTCTCCGCATAATTTGAGGCGTTTGAATGCATACCTAGCCTTTAGAATGATTCTCGGGGGCCTACCGATGCATCAAGTTAGTGCCGCTATCCTCTCAGGCAAGTCTGGTAGCAGTCCACCGATCTCGGAGGGATGAAGGATGGTGTGCTATGAGCGCGGGATCAAACCATCAACCATCCATTGGTTATTTACGTGTATTGCAAATCACCTTTAGCCTCTGCGCCACACGCGTTCGAAAAAATAATCACCGAAATATCTAAACATGTGACCTTGAGTTTGCTCGAAGCATGGACATAAGGGGGACTTGGAAGGAAAGACTGTCGTTAAAGCGAAAATGAAGTGGCAAACAAGAAAGTTTCGTACCCTCTTTCCTTCTTGATATAGGTTTTCACAAAACTTCCACGGTCTTTGCTGTTCCCGCGGCCTCCAAGGCCAATATTCGTAGCGGCAAACAGTGCGTTTTTCCACCGTAGGAGAACACGAACAATCAACCAACATTGAATTGAAGAAAAGAGAACAGAGAAGGAAAAGAGATGAGGTTAACTTCAAAGGAAAACTTACTCCCATTTGGTTTACCTATGTAAGAACAACTGTGATTCTGTATGTCAAAGTCAATTTTAAATGACCGTGACAAATAAGATTCTCTAATTCCACACTCCTATTCGACCGACTACTTCTGTAGCTTCTGAAATCCACTGATACAATAGGAATTTCAGGACATCGTAAGAGAAGGAAGTGAAGAAAAAATAAACAGAAATAAAAAGAAGCAAATGGCCGGTAGGAACACACGAGAACTGAGTAATTCTCCTGAAACGTTAGGGTTAGTATTGATTAACCCACTGACGACCCCTTTACATCGGCAGGCGACGTGGCGCCGTCGCCTGCGCGGTAGTCACAGGTAAGCAGCATCTGCATGTCTGCACATGCATGTTGAGTGTTTGCTTGCTTTCCCACGGGACGCAAAGCCGCCATTACAGTAATTGAGTGTGATTTGACGTCGCGCGGCTTGGTGCAGAACGTACCATATGGCAACTGAGGGGTTAATATGCATTATTTGCAATGGGGGAAAAAGATGAAGACTACTATCCACTTATACATTCAATAATTTTGAGTGATACATAAAAACTTTGAACCTAAAACGAACATCGAACCGATATTTCACCCTTTCCGGGGGCGAGTGCTGAATAATTGCACTATTGAGGCTCCTTCTCTGCTCACTCCTTCGCTATACATGGTATCGATCTGCCGCCACGATTAGTTGCTCACAGATCGATACCTTGTATCGCAGAAAGAGTGGTAGCAGAATAGGAGCCTGGGCAATGCAATTGTCAATCATGTGCTCCCGGAAAAGAGAAATACGGGGTTCGATCTAGCACTGTCAAAAACGGTCATGTAAAAAAGGGTTCTTGTTGATCACACATCCACTTACTTCCGCCCAAGGACTTCTCGATCACTGACGAAGTGACTGAGACCTTTTTCAATTGTTTATTTGGTCCATATCGCCGCTATACCGATCCTTCACCACTTTCTTGAGCTAGTGACAAGGTGGTGCGGGTCCTTACACATAAGATCGATCTCAATGTCGTTTATGGCACCATTGAATCTAAAATGACCACACGACTGAAAGTAATAGTTGAAGGATAGGAATACTCCACAACTACCTATATAACCAAAGCGCTGAGTGATATGCAAATCTTTGGACTTCAGGCAGACTCGAACCTGCGTCCACCCCTATGGCAAGCCCCAGGTTACCACTACACCCCCAGGACCATCGCTTTACCGCCGCTCTTTCATTAATAACAACAAAAAATTAAATAGTAATAATAACAGCTACATTCAACGTTGCCTTATCCCGCATTCCATAGGATTTTCCGGATTCGAAAATGTACGCGGTATAACGCCAGATCAGATGTGTTACTACAAAACCCTCGGGTTATTTCACTTCGAGCTAAATTGCAAACTTTTTCACCATAGATTTTGCACTGAGGGTACGATAGCGCAGTGATTAGTGAAGTGGTATGTCAGGAAGAAAGGTCCTGGTGTAATGCCAGCTGCTGTCGAATAAATATAACATATACCAGTCTATTATTCATCGCTGTTATAGCAGAGTTATGATATTATAGCTACATGTCCGAGAATGCCAACTGACATGCAAAACTTGTCCCTCAGGAGGAAGTTGAACCCGCGCCTCACCCATGCTGGGGTGGCGTGCTACCACTACACCCCCGAGGACACCGCTCTGCTAGCACTCCTCTCATAGAGCGTGCTTTAAAGGTTATATAATCAATTACAAAACTCATATTTGACTTGTAATCTAAAACTAGTGAATAACTGAAATCTCGGTAGTGCTATCTCCGACCAATTTTCAGGAGGGGAACAAGGGAGAAATAAGGAGATGTAGAAAGAAAAAAAGGAGATAAAGAGAAGAAGGATGGAGGCGTGAAACGAATAAAAAGAGAAAAGGGGAAAAGAAAAAGAAATGAAAAGAAGGAAAAACATGGAAGAGAATATTTCAAATTTTAAAAAGTACACATTATTACGTTAGTTTACTTGTATCACTACAAAATTATGTCGATAGAGTAGTTCCTCCCTGAGCTAACCCGTAAACTATTCGACTGTGAATTGACCAGTAGAAATTGTGTTAATATATATTTGAAAGAGAGCACGTATGGCGCAGTGGTTTGAAGTGCCTTGTGGCACGCACATGATCAATGGTTC